AAATTGATGAAAAGACTCTGCTATGGGGATGTGAAAGTAAGCATTTGTAACATTCAACTTGGTCATCCAAAGATCTGGTGTGAAGTGCCACTGAAAATAAAGAAAAGATTCCATGGTGAAACAAGGAGGTTGTAAGAAGATATTGAGTTAAGACAGATTGATAATAAGACAACAATCTCTAGTGTTCTTAGTCACCAGAAAAAAATGAGAATAGAATCCTGAATTAAAGGGATAAACCTTCTGAATGGGTAGACACCAATGTCACTGGCACCATCCCAACCTTCCAAGATCCCCAAGAATACAGACAAAACTGATTCTGTAAAGTTTCAGGGACTCCAGCAAACTAAGTAAGGCCAAAAAAGGAGTGCCCTCCCAGAAATCATGAAGAAGAGTAACACAATACAGTTGTAAGAGTTAAATGAATTCGCAAAAATGGAGATCTGGTAAGAGGTATAACAGGTTCTAATCTGGAACCCTAGAGATCCAACAACAAATCCAAGTGTTGAGTGTCCAAATATACTACAGCCAGATGATGATAAGCCAGGGCATGTTGTTCTGATAAACGAGGGGAGCAAGGCATAGCAATACTCTCTTGTAATTGCATTGCAAGCATCCCAGCATACAAGGCAATATCAGGGGAAGGAGGAAGAACTAAGTAATCTTCCCCAAGATCTATCTGACAACAAGGCAGGGTAGACTCTAAAGCAAGGGGGTGAATCTCCAGAGCTTCATAAACTCACGTAGCTAACTGCAGAAAATAAGGCAGAAGGTGGCCAATCAGATGAGCCCTCAGTAGAAGCAGCTTTAGTGAAAGAAGGATCAGATCTCCCCAGTATATTCAGGTTCATGATGAAAAGCCAACTCTAAATCCCTGAGCAAAAACTCATCCCAAATTAGGTCACAGACAAGTTCTACCGCAAGATTTTACTTTTACACTGTTTAAAGGAAGAAAGAAATACTGTATTCAAAGTTTCATTAAAACTCACTAACTTTTGTCCCTGTAATTTTGTTAACATATCAGCAGGACAAAAACTTTTTCAAATAGTCAATGTTATGATAGTACTCTCCACTGTTGCTTTGTGAATTGGACCATTTTCCTTACAAGGAGAATCTACACAGAAAACTCTTTAAAGCAAAATTAGGCCATATGGTTACCTAAATATCATAATAAGTAAACTAGGCCTTATGTTTACTTAGCCTATAACTAATTAACTAATGATATAACACAGAGGTAAGGTAACAACCACAGTAGTTAACAAAGGTTCTAGTCAGGGTGACTTAATCCTTTGAATGTTCACATAGATCTTATAGGTTTGGTCTGTGTATTTTCTAAGTCTTATCAAATCACATCTTTGCACTTGACATTCACTTTGACATGTTTCTTCTGGAATTAATTAATGTCAGATCCCACTCAATAACTATGGCATTATTAGTTTTCCAGATTCTTAGTAGAACACATTATAACAGCCTAGGGTTCTAAAAAGAAATGTACACTGGAACAATTCCCAGACTAAACATGAATTTCTATTTAGAAAGAAATATACACACTCTCTTTCAAGGTTATTCTAATCAATCCTTATAAAGGGGATAGAAAGATCTATTTCCTAGATGTTTCTTGAACATATCTTTCCATGCAACCAATCACAATTCACAGCTAGCACACTCACTTTCTTAAGTATGGAGTTTATAAAATGTGTGAAAACCATGAGAAATTATCTATAAATTTCTGAATAACACAATAATTATAAATTGTTACAGCTTTAGTATTGATTTCAGTTACATACACCAGGCCTATAAGCACATTGTAGAAGCATTCACATTAGATTTCTCTAAAGCCAGGCCTCTATTAAAAATAAAATAGTAATCCGCAACATGTGGAAACCACATCAAACCTGATGAAGAGCAATTACTCGAAACATCTTCGTTAAAGAAAATATTAGTTTTTCTTTCCTGGACATATCTTTTTAAAAACAAATGATCATTTTGTGTATGATAAAATAATCATTTCTGAAGAGCAGAACAGTTATAAATCTCTAATTTTGTAATGATTTCAGTTACATACACTAGATTTATAACAATCCTCACATTATACTTCTCTAGGGCACATATTAAAAAACAAACTCTCAAGTAACTAATGGGGCAGTCACAAACATTTCAAAGTTTCAACCTGTTGACCAATAATGATGATGCAAAAAAAAAGAAAATCGTAATATGTAACAACTAGAATATATACTTACAGTACATTATTTCCGACAGTAAATCACTCTTAATGGAAGACCTTTGAGAAATGTATTTCCTGTAGACTTAGGTTACTGGCTTATGACTATTTCAAAACAATAATTAGAAAGATTTTACATAAAACATTAAAATGATTTATAAAAATTATTGAAAAAGGAAATTTGATAATTTGTTATTAATTAAATGTATGACATGATTAAAGACTAAGGGTATATTTTCTCAAAAGCTAGCCCAACAAAACAACCACACAAAGAACAGAATAAATTCCATTACTTTTAGAAAAATGCTTATCATCAGATGATAAGGAAGAAATATTTTATTTATAACAAATATTTCCTCATTTGCCTACTGGTAATAACTTGTCTTTTGGTAATTTATACCAAATGTAATATGCTCTGTTAATCAGTATGTAATTTTCAACTTGATAAATATTAATGTTTATTGTAATAATGGTCCATGCAGAAAAGAAAATGTGTCTGAAAAGAAATGCAGTAAAGTTAGTTATGACATGTTTTTGTAATTATAATCATATGTTTGTCAGAAAAATCTTTTAATTCAAAGCAGACAAAACTGAACTTAAAAATCACATTTTCACAACTATTACATCTAAATACACAGATGCATTTCTTGACATTCATGTTTTCTGTGTGGAATAAACAGCTTTGGCTGTGTGAGCTCCAATAAACAATCCTATTGTTTTAAAACACAAACCACAAAGTATAAGCATAAATTAATGATAACATTACAGGACTGCTGCACATTCAATATTTGCTGCATATTAATCTAAAACTTACCATGATTGTCAGGGCAGCTAAAATAAGAAACATCCTTCACAGTACCATTATTTTTTCCTAATGGCTCATCTAGCTCTATTCCAACCCATATTCCTGGTGCAAAATGAGTTGCTCCACAAAACCTCAGAATTCCAACCTAGCATGTATACACAAAACATTATTTATGAACAACAAAAAACAAACCATAAAAGTAGGAGTTTATTCTTTTGACTACCATAACCAAAACAAGCTGAACTGCATCTACAATTTATAACTTTAAACAATAATAAAATGTAAGTAATAATACATGTAAAAACACATTTACCTGTAATATAGGTCACTCTTATTGTTATATCAGCACAGCAAGAAACTCAAATGTTCTCTGAAAATTCATTCAATTAAGAAAAAGGTACAAATAATTCCTTAACTTAAGAAAAATGGTACTCATATAATTTATGACAGACATATTCAAATTTCTAATTATGTGTATTCAATACTCCACTAAAGATGAAAAATTACAGTTCAAAATTGCAAGAGTACTTTAAGCAACTGATAAATAGATAGCACATTTCATATTCAAAGAAAATTTAATGAATTAGATATCACAATTAGGAAATAGAAATCTTGATTATTACATGGGTATGGTTCATGTATATTCTAACATTGTTATAATGTCTATCAGTTACTTGTAGAACTTCAAATTCGTTTAAGAATCAACTAACCTTAGCTCCACCCACCACCACTTTTTCTCCAATTTTCACTCCAACAGACTGTAATACAGCTTTACCAGTCACACAGCTATAATCAGGTGTAATATCTGGTGGTGATGATTGGGAAAAACAAACAGCTTTTTGAAGCAGCTGCCTGAGAGAGTTCACAACATCACAGAGGTCAGGCATTGGTTCACAATTTGGAAAATCAGGAACACAATCTGTTTTAAAAGCAGCATCAGTATTCTAATTAATTATTCAACAAATTAGTATAAGCATGTTTAGCATGCAAAAAAAAGCATAAAATAAAATCAGTGTAAAATACACAATGTTGAAATAAAAATACATTTATTTTATACAGCAATGTTTTGAGAAACTGCTCTTCTCCAGGCTTAATAAGAAAATGAAATTAATGACAGTTAAATGTTATGAACTTGCATGCTTATGTGAACATACAACTCCAGACAAATAATTTGTACTTAACAATGGGGAAAAATAATGAAGTAAAACAATGAAATATGGTTGAGAGAAAGTACACGTTGTAACCTTTTTATGGAATTATCTTCAAAATTTAATTAAACTACTTTACTATCAAGGTATGTTAATAAACTTAACATTAAAATATAAATTACCATTCAAATTTTGGTATTATCTAAACTTTAATTTCTTAATTTCAAGAGGAAATATTTAGAAAAATTCTGAATCATATCTTGTCTGTCATGTAATGCACTTGCATTTTGAATTGCCCATTTTATTTCTACCTTTATATGATTTTCTCAATTACAATTATAAACACATACCATAAATACTGACATGTCAAGATTTAAATTTAAAACCTTCAGACTTCTTGTTTTACTAAGATATAAAGGAAAATGTGAAACTACATGATGTAGACCTCCGTAAATGGGGTATTTTGTTTTGGCAATTGTAATTAGCTATTTAGCCTCAGTTTCATTGTTTGCAACTGAGGTGTTCAGCTCAAACAGATAGTGAAATTTTTTAAAACCTGTTTATAGCTAAGTTAGAAAGCCAGTTAAATTACATTTGTTTTACTGCATGATAATTTGTTTGTGTTCTAGAATGCATATTTGAAATACATATGAATAATTTTGAGGACAACCAACATCATCACAAAAAGTAGGTTTAGAGTCCCTCACTTACTTAACAGCAAAAATCCTGAATCTATGTGCAAGTGCAAAGTTCTTCTGTTTTTTAGTATATTTTTTTATTTATTGTCATAAAGTTAACTAAACTGTACAAATTAGAGTTATTAGGTTAGACATGAAAACTTAAATAAAAGAAAAAATTTCTTGTGATACTTGATTTCCCATTTATCCAGCATTACAGTTTTATTTTTAAAAAAGGTTGGGTTACAATCATGCCACACAACGTACATGTTAGGATATCAAGTATTACAAGAAATTTTTTTTCATTGAAATTTTCTTATCTAACCTAATAACTAATTTTTGCATACTCTATGATGGTCTAAGTATATTTGTAAAGAAATAAAACTAAATAAAAGTAGCTGTGAAAGGTTAATAACTTATGCTGTTACAATATATAAGTGTAACTGCCTGTTACAATATGCATTCACCCTAGAAAAAAAAAAAGCTATTTTAGACTTATTTTGTATTTTTCAACTTTTCATTTTACCCTACATTGCTGATTTCACTACACCTAGTGTTAACGTAGAGAAAGTAAATTCTTACTGAAAAAAATTTGACATTCATATAGGAAGATCTACAAACTATGCAAATAAAATAAGAAAACTTCAAAATGAAAAAATTTATTTTTATTCTTAGTATGAAAATTATTTTGCATTCATACTGATTCAGTAAAAGATTTGGAAATCGACAGACAAATCTTTAGTATAAATACTTTATTACAAAAACCAGGTTTTTCTGTACAACAGATGTGATATTTACTAAAATCTTGCCAAATGTTCTGAAGATACACTTAGTACATTCAGACTTATATTATGTTCATTTCAAGAGTTTTTTTTTTTACCTAGTTTAAAAATCAATTTGTGTTAGTCTCTTTCTCTTTAGATCATGTAAGGTGGTGCATGTTAGAAAGTTAATACTCATAAATTAGCTTGAGATGGTCATTTGAGTTCAAATGTCTAACATAAAAGATATTTGCTAAGATATTTGTAAAATATAACAACATATAATTTCATCAACTTTTATGCTAATATGAGCATGATTAACTTACTATTAGCTAAATTTAATGTAATATTAATTCTGGATTGCAATCATATTTCCATAAACTAGAAACTAACATTTTTTTATATGACTAGACTAATTACTAACTGGTTTTATCCTATATTTCACCTGCTAATCTGTTGACATTATCAGGGAAGTACTAAGAAGAACTAAGTTGGTTTGTATTTTTTGTTAAGCACAAAGCTACACAATGGGCTATCTGTGTTGTGTCCACCACAGGTATCAAAATCCTGTTTTTAGCATTATAAGCCTCCAGACTAGCTAAGCTACTTTTGGGGATTCTGAGTTGGTAGTGGGTAGAGTTTGATCCTGGTTTTTTTGTTTTATAGAACTCTGGTAAATTATCCACTTGGCTGAAGTCTTGCTCATTTAGTTTGGTATTATTCTTATTTATTGCATGGTCTCCTTCTCTGGCATGATAGGCTACTGCAGATTTGGTAATATCAATCTATCTATAATACACCATGCCAGAGAAAAAAGACAATATAAAATAAAATTTTGAATAATATTCAAATATTAGGATATGATCCAATACAAATGATAACCTTGCTGGTTACCAAGCGAAGTTTATAGATCAATTCTGAATGCTTTACTTTATGCTAACATTTTTCTTACCTGAAAATGTATTTCAGATAGATGCTCATCTCTTTGCACAACAAAGAGCTATTACAGGGTTCATACACATAAAGCAAAGCAAAATTCTGGGACTTTTCCAGAACTTCAGATCGACAGAATTAGGACCTTTCTAGTGTTCCAGGGTCATAAACACAAACAATGATGGTTTTTATAAAATGTTTCGTTTGAAAGATATATCCATAAATTTCTTACAAACAAACAAAAAATTTTATAACCTTTTTACAATCAAAGTTTTTTTTTCATTCAAATTAATTATATCTAATAAAATATTGCATATTTCTATTTCTTCCCCCATCGAAATATATTTCAATGTCAGTATCCTTTTAGTTGAAATTTCAAATCCAGTTCTTTGTTCATTTTTTTCTAAAGCATGAGACTTTTTCTTTAGCAGTTCTTCATAAGCTGTTTGCTTAAGCAACAAGAGTAAGCTTTCTACTGGCTTCAGCCTGTTCTTTATCTTTTTGTAGTTACATCCTTTTCATTTTTAACTCTTCAATGTCAATAACTATTATTTGTCTTTTAATGCTTCTTTCTGTAGTTCCTTTTTCTTTTCTTTTTTACTCCAAGTTTTGGAAATAGTGTCCCACCCTGCAGAATAAACAGGTACAAGCATCTTAGAAGTAACAGAAAACTTCATTACTCCTTCAGCAACAACAATGTTGTCTTTTACAATATGTTGAATAACAAAACTATATGGAAGTAGGCTTTCCCTCCACTGATGCCCATCCATGGGAAAGAACTAACAACATGTTATACTCCTTCTTATGACCTATATGATCACTTAGAAATAAGTCTAATCTATCTTTCTCATAGTCAAACTCTTGAAAGCTCTAATTTCAAAGGATTCTTCTGTGTTGTTCCAGTATCTCAGTACATTCCTCAACTTTGATCTTTTTGATCTCACATAAAGTTTTGAGTACATCTCTCTTTTGGAAATTAGGTGTTTGCTTCAATATGCATCCTATTGAGGTCAACATAATTCAAATGTCTTACAAGTGAATATTTCACAGGTCCTTTGACTTCCAATTTCTTAACTTTCATGGCAAATTCCTTACAACACATTTTAAATTTTGAAATTTTTCCTGCATAACTTTTCACAAGCATTTCAGTCTCTGCCCAAGTGTCTACTTGCATGTAATTTACATGAAACTCAGCATTTTTGACTGCCAATAGAAATCATTCTTTGTTGATTTCTTTACCTTTTCTAACTCAGATTTGTTAATATTTCTGTAATTTCAAACAACATATCAGTCATCTCAGTACACAGAAAGGTAATCAGTGGTTTATCAGACTGATATTTTGTGAGAGATGAGTTGTTTGACTTGGCTATGCAGTTAAAGAATGTCAGTTTTGTTTCATTTAATAGATCCTTAGATACTTCCTTAATAGTTTAATAACATTTACTTCCTGGATGGGAAATTTCTTTTCTTCCTCTTTCTCAGTAAAGCGTTTTATGATATCTGAGGTGCTCTTGTAGCTACAGGTAAGTTTTCTCTCCACTTGGAATTTCCAATTTACATTAGTTCCATCTATTAATAACTGCAAAACATCATTCAAAATCCTTTTTAAATTAGCTATGTCTTCAGATTTTTCTACTATGTTCTCAGCCTGTACCATGACACAAAGACAGCTGTTGACATTGGTTGTTCTCAGAAATCCAATACCTTACCTGAATATTCATTTGTTTGCTTTTAGTTATTTTGTAAAGTGATTCATCAAAGAGCAAAACATATTCTCCAACCTTTCTCAGTTGATCAACTAGGCACATAATAAAATATGGTGCTAATCTATACTGTGCTTTATATGAAGTATTTCTTTCAGATAATGCAAATAACTTTGCAGATGGGCTGTCCTTAAATTTAGCTTTAAAAATGTCAGATATTCCAGCACGTGAATTATACAAGAAATCAGAATATACAATTTTCAACATCCAAAGTATCTCTGACTAGACCACAGAATTGGTTGTGATAGCATAAAAGGACACACTGGTATTTGCTGTTCCAATACTTGGAAAAGTAGCCTGAAAAAAAAAAAAGATTCAATTGCCACTTTACTTGATAGAATAAATGTTGAGATAAGCAAACACTGGAATGAATGATCAAGTCTAACTATCACTTATTAAACTATGAGTATTGATAAAGATTTTTAGATCTACGTATGATTGTTTGGTTTAGAACAAATCCATATTGGGCTATCTGCTGTATTTTCTACTGGGAATCAAACTCCACAGTTTAGTGTTGTAAGTCAATAAATTTACCACTGTCCCACCAGAGGTCTTTAAATCTAAATTCAAGGTTGAAACTCAAAGTTAAATCTATGATACTTTAACTGTAGCTTAGTGTATTTAATTAATCTAGTGA